AAATGTGCCGACTGAGTGAAATCCATCGATCTCCGTTTATTTAACTAGGATGAATAGTTGAATACTTTTTTCCCACGACAGCCACCGTAAGTATAAGTTGGCACTGAAGTCACTGTCAGGGTTTGAGGACATAAATGCAGAGGCTGAGAGGCAGGCAGAGGTGAGTTGTTGCAGTTTTGAATGAATCAACACAGGTAACAGCGGCAGGTATCCAAATCCAACTTAAAATGTAAAACTTAACCAGAACCATGGAGACATCAGGGAGAAGAGCATGTAGAGTCAGGGAAAGGCAAGGAGAGACAAGGTAAGACAAGGAACCAGCTACTGACAGCCAGAGGCAGTGCTTCAAGCACTGAATCATTATTCTTTTGCATGCGCAGGTCAAGTATTAATGACACCTGCCGTGCATAGAGGTAAGTCCGACTATCACTAGATGGAACCATTAAACTTTGTATACTAACTCAGGCTCCTTCCCCACCAGAAATGAGACATTCCATGTCCCAAGAGCCAGCTTCTTCAGCCGCCAAAGTCCCTGTCCTCCGCTGCCACCCATCACACATTGCACCCAACCCCTTTGGCCCCTCCTACAGGTGGTGAGCCCATTGCAAGGGGGACCCATGTTTCCTTTTTGGGCTGTGCCCGGCCACCAGCCGCTCGCCAGCGTGCCCCACCTCGAGGCCTGGCTCCAGAGTGGGGCCCCTATGTCCCGCGTCTGGGCAAGGAACACTAGGTCCATTTGTCTTACTCATCATAAGATGTCTTTAGGCTGCTCTTTGTCTGGTCCTTCACGTAAGACCTGTCTGCCTTGGGTGACCCTACTAGGGGGCATAAAGCCCCCATGCAGCATAGCTCCTAAGGTCATTGGGACACTTAAACCCCTCCACCACGATAAGGTGGCAGCCCAGGGAGGGGTTTCATAGAAACCACTTTTTGTAATCAATAGTTGTTGTTTTTTTTGTTTTTTATTGAGGCAACTTCTTTTTTTTATAGAATTATAAAGATAGATGTCATTTCCACTGTATGTTTAAAACAACTTCAGTTAAAAAAAGTTTCTTCATGCCAAAAACTGTCACTATTATTCAAAGAATACGTTTTATATAAAAGAAACAATTTCTCAAAGGTATTTTTTGAGTCTCAACTGTATTTTTGCAATATTATTTGTTGATTAAAAGGAGTTTTTTCATTAACGTGAAGGTTTTTCTTTATTGAAAATATATTTTTTTAACTGAAGCAACCCTTTTTAAATGGAATTATAGAGACAAATCTACCCTATTATATTTGATAATTGACCAACAAATAGAATTCACAGTTCCCCTTTACACTTATATCTAAATTGTGCAATTAAAGAACTCTGTTTAAATGGGATATCTGGTTGTATGATTTAAATTTGAAATTTTTAAAGGCTCTGCTTCTTTTTAAGTGGCTCTCCTGGTCTTCTATATGGGATGCAAAGATTCAGATGGAAGTTAAGTCCACATACTCAATTTACAATCAATTTACTATCCACTGTATATCATTGTTAATCTATTATTAGATTATATAATATTTCCAAACCAGAGCGTGAAACCATGGAGAAATACATCAACGAGTCTCTAGCTGCTGGAATAATTCGCCCATCTTCATCTCCTCTCGGTGCTGGCTTTTTCTTCGTTGGTAAAAAGGATGGTTCCCTGCGCCCCTGTATAGACTACAGAGGTTTAAATCAAATTACCGTCAAAAATAAATATCCCCTACCTTTACTGGCTTCTGCGTTTGAACCTGTACAGGGTGCTACAGTGTTTACCAAACTCGATCTAAGAAACGCCTACCGCCTCCTTAGAATAAGAGAAGGGGATGAATGGAAAACAGCCTTTAAGACCCCCTTAGGGCAATTCGAGTACCTGGTCATGCCTTTTGGCCTCACGAACGCTCCTGCCTGTTTCCAAGCTCTTGTCAATGACGTCCTCAGAGATTTTTTGAATGTTTTTGT